CTGTATCTTCTAGTTCTCTTTCTTCAGTACAAGAACCTATTTCTGTTTTACAGCTTCCTCATCCCCAGCTTGGAAAGATGATGCAAGCAGAGTTTAATGCATAATCTACAATAGAACTTGGACCCTTGGGCTCTACAGTCTTTAATGAACATATGCAAAACTAGTGGGTCTTCAAAACTAAGTACCAATGCAGATTTGTTTGTTAAGAGACTTAAACCTAGACTTGTGGCTAAGGGGTTGCACAAACTGCTAGAGTAGATTATTTATGGACTTTTAGTCCAGTAGTCCAGATACTACAATAGAAATGATTTCTCTGTTGCTCTGATTCAGGGTTGGGACATTCAACAAGTGGATGTGATAATTCCTTTCAAAATGGTATCTAAATGATATTGTCCTTAGCAACCTGAAGGTTTCTCATACTCCATTTATCCAGGTTATGTATGTAACTCAATAAAGCTTTACATGTTTGAGACAACCCCCTTGGCTTGGTTTGATAAACTGAAAACAGCTTTTTTAATGGAGGTTTGTGAATCAATAGCTTTTTCTAGCTTGTTTTTCTACAATTCTAAGAGTGAGATTTTTTATGTGTTGTTTATGTTGATGACATACCTCTAACAGGCACTAATGCATCTCTCAATTGCAAAGGTTATTAGGTTTAAATAATTAGTTGCTCTCAAGACCTTGGATCCTCGAATATTTTCTTAGTTTAGAAGCTTTTCAAAATAGAAATGGCATCCATCTCAATCGCAAATACACCACGATCTTCTAAAGAAGACTGGAATGCTAAAGTCAATGGGTTTGGGAATTGAACTTGCTGCTGTAGTAGTGAAGAGTTTGACAACTTTTGCCTTATATGAACAAGTAGGTGCTGTTCAATACTTAACCAAGCCAGACACTGCTTTCTTAGTAATAACCTTAAGCAAACCTAACCTTAACCTTAACCTTAACCAAGCAGTAGTGTCTCAATCTCTTTCTTTTCAAACACTTTTTAACATTGTGCTCAACTATAAACTATTAAAAAACATTTGGTTTGGTTGTTACCCTTTCCTCAGGCCTTATAGTGCACACAAATTTATTTTTCATACTTCTAAATGTGTATTTGTAGGTTAGTCTTGTTTGTGAAGGTTAGTGCTTAAATGCAAATGGCAAAGTGTATAATAGCTCAAGTGTCAAGTTTGAGAGTCTGATTTACTTGATTAATAGTTTTCTATCTCACATTCTTCTAAAGTACATAGTTTAAGTTTGAATTCAATACCTTCTCTACTTGGTTTTTACCTCATTGTTTAACAGATTTTGATTTAGTTTACTAAGTCTAATCAATCTTCTGAACATTATACTGATTTTTCTCTTCTTAGTCCTAGGATAACTGCTACGCTCTCCTGGTGACCACACTAAATCACACTGTCAGTCTCTCTCTTTCTCTATCTCTTCCCCTCATCTTCTCTCTTTCACATTTTCTTCGCCCACATCTCCTTTCTCTTTTCTCTACTCTGCCCCTCATCTCCTCTCTCCACTTTTCTATGACCCGCATCTCCTCTCTCTATGACCCACATCTCCTCTCTTCTTTCTCTATCTCTTCCCTCATCTCCTTCTCTCTCTCCACATTTTCTATCGCCCACATCTCCTCTCTCTCTTTCTCTATCTCGGTCATGGTGAGTGACGAACAAAATTAGAGAGAGGAACTCAGTAAAAAGAGATGGCCATAGTGGTGACAAAAAGAATAAAGAAATGGAAGTGAGTAACAAATGGAATAAAAGAAATGGATTATTTAGTAGAGAGAAAAAATGACAAAATTCATATTAAATTATTTCAGTATTTCACACGTGTATGTAGTGGAAAAACAATTTTTCCCTCCACAAGATCAAGAAAAAGTCAGTCTGAAGAGAGATAAAATTGATTTATTAAAAAATGTACAAGCTTAAAACAACAATTAAAAAACTAAGGGAGTATTATATTCCATTACATGTGACTTAATATAAGTGTTGTTGTTATAATATATAACGTTGTTTATGAAGTGTTTCAATTACAAGCAATAAACATACCAATATTTAAAGTTGTACAATAATTATCAATTAGGAAAAAATTATATAAGTGAGCACAAAGCCACAAAGAGAACTCGTATAAGGAGTGATTTTTGACCAAATTTGCAGTCTTATATGTTTTAAAACAATTAAATTAGCAGTGTTTGTCTCATCAAATAGTCTAAATACAAGGGGATGACCTCGAAAAAGAAAACTAATCCTAATTAATTAATTATATTAATGAAGTAATTTTATAATAATAGAAATATGATTAAAAATAGATAATGTGAATTGAGAGATGATAAGTAATAATGCTCAACAGCATATGTGGTCACAATTCAATTTGCAAAGCCCAGAGTGTAGAGAACAAAAACATTTTAATCAATCAAATATATCTAAAGCATGCATAAAATTAAACATAAATTACATTAATCATATGGAAAATATGCCACCGCTTTGCGGCCACCACCGACAACCACTCCGCCACTCTTCCCTTTCACCGCCACTTCCCAAACTCAAAACCCCCACAATTCATTTCCGTCTTAGCAAAGTATGCTAGGAAGGCCAACCTCATTTAGCCCGCCAACTGTTCGACACATTCCCCGCCCAACACCGTCCTTTGGAACCCATCATTATGGTTTTATTTGCAACAAAATGCCACAAGATGCCATTTTGTTCTATGCCAATGAAAAAATCCGCTCCTTATACTTTGTTTGATACTATACTTACTCTTCGGCTCTCAAGGCTTTTGCCGCCACACGCAATTTGAGAGTCGGTAAAGCTGTTCATTCCGTTTAATTAGGGCTTATTGAACCCCAGTAGGATTGTGTATAACCTCTCTGTTGAATATGTACTTTACTTGTTTGAGTTCTGTGGTGGATAGTGAAATTGGTGGGTGTGGTTATTCTGATTTGATATTCGAAGTATGTATTTAGTTTGTAAAGTATTTGATATGATGAAAAGGAGAAATCTTATTTGGGTGTTGTTGCGTGGAATACTATGTTTCATGTTACGTAAAGACAGAGAGATATGCAAAAGCGATTAGGCAATTTAGGATGATGGATAGAAGTAAATTACACCCGGTACGTGTAGTTTTGTTAATGTTTTCCCGGATTTGGCGAGTTTAGGGGACTATAAGAACGGTAACGTACTTATTGACTGCTTGTAAATTGGGAAGTGAATATAAATGACTTGTTTGTTGTGAGTTCAGCTATTTCATGTATGCTGAGCTTGGTTGTCTTGATTTCGCTAAGAAGATTTTTTCTGTTGTTTGGAGAGAAACACTGAGGTTTGGAACACTATGATCGTGGGTATGCACAGAGTAGTTCCCCTTGAAGCTATTTCTTTTCCATTGAAGCTATGTTATCAGATGAAATTGATTTTGAGAGGTGACTTTTTTTATCGGTCTTAACTGCAGTTTCACAGTTGCACGATTGACTTAGCTTAACACTGCATGCCTATATAATTAAGAATTTGGCAACATTTGCCAGTTATTGTATTGAATGCAATTATTGTCATGTATTCAAGATGCGGCTTTGTCCTTACATCATTTAAAGTTTTTGATAATATGCTGGAGCGGGATGTTGTTTCTTGGAATACAATGATTTCTGCTTTTGTTCAGAATGGGTTGGATGATGAAGGATTAATGCTTTTGTATGAGATGCAGAAACAACAATTTATGATTGATTCCGTTACTGTTACTGCTTTGCTTCAACAGCTTCAAATTTGAGAAACCATGATATTGGAAAGTAGACCCATGCTTATCTCTTAAGGCATGGCATTCAGTTTGAGGGAACGGAAAGTTATCTTATAGACAGGTATGCAAAATCTGGTTTGATTAGAGCTTCTCAACAAAATTTTGAGAGAAACCATACTGGAGACACAGATCAAGCCACTTGGAATGCTATGATTGCTGGGTATACCCGAAATGGATTGGTTGAGGAAGCTTTCATTACTTTTAGGCAGATGTTTGAGCAAAACGTAACTCCCAATGTTGTGAATATAGCATTTGTGCTCCCAGCTTGTAATCCAATGGGAAACATAGAATTGGCGATTTGGGCAAGCAACTTCATGGATTTTCTATCCCCCATTTGTTGGACAAAAATGTCTTTGTAGGCTCTGCTTTTGTTGATACGTATTCTAAGTCGGGTTCAATTTCTTATGCTAAAATGTGTCTGCCCAAACCTCTGAAAAAATGCAATTGTAGAGCTCTTTCTTTGTTTCGCAGAATGCAAGAATGTGACATTGAACCTGATGCCGTTACCTTTGTTGCCGTGTTGTCTGCTTGTGGTTATGCTGGCGTGGTTGATGAAGGTCTTCAAATATTTGAGTTGATGGAGAGTAAATACAAGATCAGCCCTCAACTGAGCACTATTGTTGTGTTGTGGATATGTTAGGTAGGGTTAGGAGGGTGGTTGAAGCCTATGAGTTTGTCTAAAAATTAGGTGAAGAGGGGAATGTGTTGGAAATTTGGGGTTCACTTCTTGGTGCTTGCAGACTTCATGGAAAATCTAATTGGGAGAAGTTGCCAAGAAGTTGCTTGAATTAGATACAAGAAAAAAATGACGAGCTATCATGTTTTGCTCTCAAATATCTATGCAGAAGAAAGAAACTGGGAAAATGTTGACAAAGTAAGGAAAAAGATGAGAGAAAGATGGTTGAGAAAAGAAGTTGGATGTTCTTTGATTGATACTGGAGGTTATGTGAACCGTTTTGCGTCTAAGGATCAAGAGCATCCGCAAAGTGATGAGATATATGAGAAGTTGGAAGGATTAGCCATGGAAATGAAAAATGCTGGTTATAGGGCCAACTGAAGCTCTAATCTAGATGCCATGTCGCAGTTTAATGAATGAACTGGAATATTCATTATGGACTTTGAAAATGGGAGAATGAAAACCATGTTTAGTGAAGACAACTAGCTGCAAAAATGTTGGCTGTTGAAGGGCCAGTAGTTGGTCATTTAATTACTGTGGATACAACATGATGGTAGGTCTAAATCATGGTCCTCTGTCAAGACTGACAATCTCGATCAATGCTCAACTTGCTCAGTTGAGCAGCTCAGTGTTTAGCATGACGCAATTATCGGGATGTTTGCATGGTCTTTAGTGGTTAAGCAACGGAGACTAAATTAGATTAAAGTGGTAAGCTGCTCAACTTTATTTAATCAGGCCTTATCTCATTGATCAGGTAAAATACAGAAAAACTCTCATTCTAGCATGATGGTAAAAATTTCGCCTTTAAAAAAATTATATCACTATATGCTCAACAGCAACGGGACTTTATATATATGGTGCATGAATTTCTTTATTGGATCTTTCACACTTTTTCATCTGCAGTGGCCGCTTTCTCATTGCTTCTTAGTTATGGATATCTTCTTACGTTCTATCATCTGCTGTGATCAAAGCATCTTCTTCATTGACTTAGTAAAGTGACCATACCTAAATTTTTGTCACAGAATCTGTCTTTTGGGTGAACACAAAGAAGAAAATGAAAGATTGGTTTAAAATTCATCTGAGAAGTTTTTGTATGTAAAATTGTTATATAGTTCTATTATTTAAATTTTCGATACTTTATTCTTGAAATTGTTAGGATTCTCTTTAAGCTAATAGTTTAGACATCTTTTTATATCTCAACATATGAAATCATTTCAGGTAGATAGATTGGTAATATGAAGAATTTGGACCTTATGCTTGAATAATGGATGATTGAAATGGAAATTTGAACTAATTTTGTCTTAGATGGGAATAAGTTTTAAACAAATAAAACCCGAGCAAAAGTTTAAAGCCATTTTCTATTGATATATAAGATTTTACATTCATTAAGTTAAGAAGAAAATGCCTACTTTGGATTTTTTATGGTCTTTTGTTTTTGCTTCATTCTCCTTGGAACGAGTTTTCGATATGTTGGTCGATGTGATGCTCTAATGGATGTTCACAAGAATCAATTAATTCAAAATTTTGTAATTTCATTTTCCCCTTTTTTTGAGAATATCAATTATAATTGTGACAGGAACAAATGTTACATGGATTGCAGAACTCAAAAAGACCATATTCTCCCTCTAGCACATAATCATCTGCAATCGAGCAGCATGATCATGGAGTGGCCAAGTGAATCGATGCCATTTGCTAGTTTGCGCCAGTGTTCCTCTACGGACCATATGAATTAAACCTAGGAGATTGAAGGAGCTACAGCAGTTGACCTTCAACCAGGCATTCTAAGTTCCAAGTTCTAACCTTGTTTTCTCTTCCTTCAAAACAAGGTTTTGCCTTCTGCGTACTTAGAGAAAGATTGGTCTATGATAGTGTTTGAGCAAGCAAGGAGGTTTCGACGGGTTAAGGGTATTGTTGTAAATTCATTCATGGATTTGGAGTCTAATATGATAAAGTCTTTCTCAAATGGTGAAACTAATATCCCACCCGTTATTCTGTAGGACCCATTTTGAATCTTGCGGGTGATAGCATTGATTTAGGGTCAGGTGGGTCCAAAACAAAAGCAGAAATCACGGAGTGGCTTGATGATCAATCGCCATCGTCGGTTGTGTTCCTATGCTTCGGGAGCATGGGAAGTTTCGATGAGGATCAGGTGAAAGAGATTGCTTGTGCGCTCAAGCAGAGTGGGCATCGGTTCTTATGGTCCCTACGTCAACCTCCACCAAAGGGTCAGTTCGCCATACAGGGTGACTACACAAATCCAACGGATGTGCTGCCAAAAGAATTTCTCGATCGAACGGTTAAGATTGAAAAAGTAATCGGATGGACTCCACAAGTGCCCAAAGAATCTTAATTTTACTTTGTCATAGAATTATAAAACTATTGATGTTCAAGATTTGACATTGGCATAATTTGGATGGATTCTCTTGGTTTCTTGTTTTCAATATGTTGGTTGATGTCATGCTCTAACGGATGTTCACAAGACATCTTTGTCGAAATATTTGAACATAAATCACTAAAGTAAGGTTAGATTCATTAGAGTTTGAAAAGTAATACTCAGCTACTTTTCAATTTCCAGTTATTTGAACACATACAGGTCTTCTCCCTGTTAGCAAAGCATTTACATCATCACTAACTTATCGTCTTGTTTACATAGATGGTTTTACTTCAATTAATTTCTATTTAAAATCCATTAAACTTTCATTGAATTTTACTCTCAAAACTCAAAAACACAATAACCAGCTTCAATGAACAAGAAAGCCAACCTCGTCTTCATCCCTGCACTAGGCGCCGGCCACCTCGACTCCACTATGGAGCTGGCCAAGCTCCTCGTCCACCGCCACCAACGCATCTCCATCACGGTCCTTGTCATGTAATTACCCTTTGACTCCAAAGTTAACATCTATCTAAACTCACTCTCTGCTAGCAATCGCATCAACTTCGTTCATCTCTTAAGCGATGACCTTCAAGGATTTGACCCAGAAGCTTCTTCACTTCATTCATTGAATCTTGTAAACCCTTCATCAAAGAAGCAGTCTCTAAGCTAGTTCACTCCGAGTCAGCCTCCCATGACTCACCTTGACTCGCCGGGTCTGTCCTCGACATGTTTTGTGCCCGCATGACTATTGGATTATTAGTATAATTAATTAATTAGTTTAGTTAGCTAGTTAATCTGTCAGTTAGTTAGTTAAGTGGTTTAGTTAATTGGTTAAATAGTTAATTAGTTGTTATGGTTAATTGATTGTGATTGACTCATCACGGTTACTTGTATATATATATATATTTTGTTCTTCTGGTAAACGGATCCCTTTAAGTTGAATAAAAAAAAATTCTCTTCTCTCAAATGCAATTTGTTCATGTATCAGAGCAGTGTTTTTTCGGTGGTCAGATCTTTTGTTGTTGATCTGGCATTTTTCGATCAGATCCATTATGGATCTGACCGAAAAATGATAGATTGACATACTACCGGTCAGATCTAATCGATAGTACGCTATTATACTAGATTTCGACCACCTTTCGACAGTGGTGATCGAAATCTGACAAATGTAGGTGATAAGGGTGTTTTTGTCAATTTCTAAATTTTGTTCTGTGGATGTTTAGTCAAATTAATAAACTTAAAGGATTTAAAAATAGTTTAATAAAATATAATAACATTTTTAGGAAAATAAATTGGTATTTTGGAAATAGTATAAATAGAATAGTGAAAAATATTAAACCAAACGGACCTAGAATTCCCCAAATTCAAATCTCCTTCCAAAATTCATCTGTCCTAAATTTGCAAACCAAACAATAACCAGTTGAGGTGGCATATGCCATGTAGGATGTCACATCATGAAATAAAAAAAAATGGTGTATTCATACTTAAAAACAAAAATTGAATGAAATAAAATAAGAAAATGAAGTATAATAAGACAAGGGATATTAAAGCCTTTTTCTATTATACACCCATTGATGTGTCTCACTCTCACGATGATTTCCATACATTCGTCGATACTATTAAACAAACGAGTAATATTACAGTTATAAAAAATAATACATCAAGTTTATGTATTAAATAATGTGACATAATTTTAATTATCGATTAACACAAATTACATCGAATAGCATAAATTTGGTTCACTCTGTTTTTGTAGCTCTATTATTTTCGTAAACAAATAAAAGAGCACAACAATGATAACTGAACCATTAAAGATTAAACAACACCGAGTTCACTGAAACAGGGACGTGTGTTTATCTTGGCCCACTCGCCCCGCGACAGGGACAGGCACAATAATAACTCAATGCCTTCAGATATGGACGGTCGAGATGATAACTTTAAAAAAATTATTTTGATTTACATGCGTGATCTCGCCCGTCACACCTAAGCCGGCGGCGACCAGGCTACCTTTTTTATTTCTTTATTATTAAATAAATATTTTTCTCCTAAACTGGCATAGTAATTATATCATCATCTTCATCAGCCCTTTGTCCTGTATATAACTTTCCACTTTGTTAGTAAACAAATGTACAAAACAAAAGGATGAAGAAAGCTGAGCTAGTGTTGATACCTTCATCCGGCGTCGGCCACGTTGTAACGATGGTGGAGATGGCAAAGTTCCTGGTCCACTGTGACCACCGCCTCTCCATCACCGTCCTCGTCATGCAGCTCCCCTTCGACACCAAAGTCCCCGTCTACCTTCATTCACTCTCTCTCCCCACTCAACCCGAACTTCAAAATCATTCAACTCCCAGAAGTCAATCTTTCCCCTTCAAAATATCTTCTCGCATAAGCTTCATGGATTCGTTCGTCAAAAGCCATTAACACCTCGTCAAAGAAGCAGTCACTAAGCTAATTCAGACGGAGTCAGCCTCTGGTGACTCACCTCGACTCGNCAATTGCAACATATGATTTCGAGCAACAATTGGTGAGAAGATATGTTTGAGCTTGTTGAAGTGGGTTATTGTTAAAGAGGTCAAATTCTTCAAATTTGAGAATGATGACTCATGTTCCAGTACTCCGCAGTCTTCCATGCTTAATTCTTTAATTTTTTTGAAGAAGCCACATCTCAACCCAGAGAGAATTCCATCGCACAATTGACTACTGCAATTACTCATCTCTACAACCTGTAGATTCTGAGACTTCACAATAATGTTATAAAAAGTTTATTAGATAAATTTATGCCAATAGATTATAACGTACTACCAACTACTAAAAAAAAGTAAGAGAATCCTTTATATATTTTATTTAATTAACTAAAAAATACAAAAATTATAAGAGAAGCTGAAAGTAAATTGAACAATAACAAAGTAGATTCATTTATAATTTTAAGTGAATGGTTTGATATGCTATTGTTGAATAAGTATTATTAAACTTAGAAGAATTTTATTCCCATAAAGGGAGGAGTGGTAATTGGTAAACTAAAATTTTAATGCCAATTGTAATGAAAATTATATTATAATTGTTAGAAATTCTAAAATAATGCATAGCTAAATAATCCTTCCAAAGGCCTAATAGGTAAAGATTTAACAATTATGATATAATTTTTCATTGTTGATATCTCACTTAAAGTACCATCTATTGTAAAAAAAAAAAAAATTGTGGTAAAATCTTTTATTTAACCCATACAACTTTTTTCTTTCCATATTTATCGTAAAGAACCTAAAATAAATTTATGCACTTTTTTCTTTCCATATGCACGTTGAAATAAAAGATGCAGCAGAGTTGAGCCAATAAAATGTTCGTCCATTTTAGGCCAAAAAAAGAAAAGGAAACGAATTAAAAACATACCTCCAAAGCTGGCAGAGTTGAATGATTATTTTTGGGAAAGAATCTGGTAAGCTTTTCAAGTTTGTAGAGCCTTAGCTTTTTTAAATTAGGCAACTTGATGTCCTCGCCTTCCTCTGCAACTTCATTTTCTTCTTTTCCATGAAATACTTGCTTCAACTCTGTTGCATCTTTTATTTCAAGATTTTTAAGTTGTATAAGACCTGCTGCAATAAACACCGGAAAAACGTATTCCAATCTCTTGCATCTTTCAATTTGGAGATCTTCTAATTTTGACAACATTTTCACTCCCCTGCCATTATCATCCTCTTCTATCTTGATCAGGAACTCCAAACTCTCACAATATTCTACACGGAGTGATTTCAACTGCCCCAAACTCCGGGCAATTGATAAAGTGAAAAGATAAACCAAGCTTTTGCACCCTCTCACATAAACATCCATAAGACTTTGGAAGTTTACAACATGCATGGGCATGGGCCCCTTCCATATACACTGCAATTCTGGTAACCATTGCAACTCTAACTCTGCTAAACTTGGATGCAACTTTGGATTTTCTTCCCCCACTTGCGATGCATCTATCATGCATTTCAAGTCTGAACAATCTCTAACCACAAGAGTATTCAACTTCTTCAATCCATTTTGGTCAATGCTTGGGAGGATATTTTGACCTGTTACTCTTTCCAAACTAAGATATTCTACACTATGATATAGTGCTTTAAATAATGCAGTCAACAAGGTTGCATCAATATGAGCAATTCTTAAAGCTTTTGATGATTCTTCTGGATATCCAACAGAGAGACCACTAGTAAGCCTTTGGTTCACAAAAATTTCATACCTTGAAAGTTCGGAGAAAGCAAAGTCTTTTGCAAGGCATTTTGAATTTAATTTCAAATANTTCTCTCAAATGCAATTTGTTCATGTATCAGAGCAATGTATTTTCGGTGGTCAGATCTTTTGTTGTTGATCTGGCCTTTTTCGATCAGATCCACTGTGGATCTGGCCAAAAAATGATAGATTGACGTACTATCGGTCAGATCCAATCGATAGTACACTATTATACTAGATTTCGGCCACCTTTCGACGGTGGTGATCGGAATACGACAAATGTGAGTGATAAGGGTGTTTTTGTCAATTTCTAAATTTTTTTCTGTGGATGTTTAGTCAAATTAATAAACTTAAAGGGATTTAAAAATAGTTGAATAAAATATAATAACATTTTTAGGAAAATAAATTGGTATTTTGGAAATAGTATAAATAGAATAGTGAAAAATATTAAACCAAACGTACCTAGAATTCCCCAAATTCAAATCTCCTTCCAAAATTCATCTATCCTAAATTTGCAAACCAAGCAATAACCAGTTGAGGTGGCATATACCATGTAGGATGCCACATCATGAAATAAATAAAAAAATATGTATTCATACTTAAAAACAAAAATTGAATGAAATAAAATAAGAAAATGAAGTATAATAAGACAAGGGATATTAAAGTCTTTTTCTGTTATACACCCATTGATGTGTCTCACTCTCACGTCGGTTTTCACACATTTGCTAACACTATTAAACAAACGAGTAATACTACAGTTATCGAAAATAATATACCAAATTCATGTATTAAATAACGTGACATAATCCTGATCATCGATTAATACAAATTACGCCATATTATTCGATACATAAATTTGGTACACTCTTTTTGATAGCTCTATTATTTTCCTAAACAAATCTTTCACTACAAATAAAAAAGCACAACAATGATAACTGAACCATTAAAGATTAAACAACACCACATTTATGATGAGTCAGTTACCGAGTTCACTGAAACAGGGACGTGTGTTTATCCTGGCCCACTCGCCCCGTGACAGGGGTAGGCACAATAATAACTCAATGCCTTCAGATATGGACGGTCGAGATGATAATTTTAAAAAAATTATTTTGATTTACAAGCGTGATCTCGCCCGTCACACCTAAGCTGGCGGCGACCGCCGACCAGGCCACATTTTTTATTCCTTTATTATTAAATAAATATTTTTCTATAAACTGGCATAGTACTTATATCATCATCTTCATCAGCCCTTTGTCCTGTATATAACTGTCCATTAACTTTGTTAATAAACAAATGTACAAAACAAAAGGATGAAGAAAGCTGAGCTAGTGTTGATCCATTCATCGGGCGTCGGCCACGTTGTAACGATGGTGGAGATGGCAAAACTCCTGGTCCACTGTGACCACCGCCTCTCCATCACTGTCCTCGTCATGCAGCTTCCCTTCGACACCAAAGTCCCCGTCTACCTTCATTCACTCTCTCTCTCTCCACTCAACCCGAACTTCAAAATCATTCAACTCCCAGAAGTCAATCTTTCCCCTTCCAAATCATCTTCTCGTATAAGCTTCATGGATTCGTTCGTCAAAAGCCATTAACCCCTCGTCAAAGAAGCAGTCACTAAGCTAATTCAGACGGAGTCAACCTCTGGTGGCTCACCTCGACTCGCCGGGTTCGTTCTCGATATGTTCTGTGCGGACATGATTGAAGTTGCGAATGATTTTGCAGTTCCTAGCTACATTTTCTACACCTCCAGTGCAACTTTTCTTAAAGCGGTGTCTTTCTAAGCTTATAAATTGGTCAAACTAGTTTATAAGCTCTAAAATTAAGCTCTAAAATTAAGCTGACTTGTTTGTTTATAACATTTTCGAGTTTATAAGTTGAACTTATAAGCCAAAAAAAATAAGTTAGGGAAATGTACTTTTTTTTTTTTTTTGCTTATAAGCTAGTTTGATCAAATATATTACCATATTATTCTTGTTTAATTTTAAAATTTTATAGTATACCCTTATTTAATGTAATACCTATTTTAGTTATTTTATAATAAATTTTACTTATAAACCATATATTACCAAACACATTAACTATTTATCAGTTACTTATAAATATTTTAACTAAATACATAATTACTTAACATCTTAAATACTTATAAAGTAAAATTAACTTATAATTACTTGTTGGTTATTAAGCTATTTTTTAGATAAACAACTCCTTAGTATGCAGTTACAATTGCAAGTTCTTTCTGATGAGCAAAACCAGCCCATCACTGAGTTGAAAGACTCGGTCACTGAGTTGATTGTCCCGAGTCTCGTTAAGCCGTTGACTAATGTTATGTTTCAACAAGCAAGGGGGTTTAGAGAAGCAAAGGGCATTATTGTAAATACATTCAAGCAGTTGGAATCCTATGCGGTCGAGTCTTTCTCAGATGGTAAGTTGAACAACACCCCACCTGTGTATACACCGGGACCCATTTTGAATTTAGAGGGTGATGAGATTGATCGAGAATCAGGTGGATCCATCTCAATAACAAAGATCAAGGAGTGGCTTGATGATCAACCGCCATCATCGATTGTGTTTCTTTGCCCCGGGAGCATGGGAAGCTTCAGTGAGGACCAGGTGAAAGATATCGCTTGTGCGCTTGAACATTGCGGNGAGTATACGCCATGACGCAACAAGAGGCCCAGACCATACCAAAGGAGGTAACGTTTTAGGAAGTCAGGAATGCCAAAGTCAATGTTTTGTGGAAAGCACCAAGTCAGATGCAACTGCCTTTTGTGGTGGATACACGAGTGTATGGATACAGATTGAAAGGTATTTCGATGGTAAAGAAATTGGAAAGTTTAACTGCAAGATGTGGTGGCCATGTATTAAAGAAAGATTGTAGGGTTTGGCTCCAGATATTCGTTATGCCAACCAAATGAAGCAATATATGTGCACTGTATCTAGAGTTATTCTAGTCAGGAGTTTAAATTTCGAAGACGAAATTTCTTTAAGGGGGGAAGGTTGTAATATCCCATATTTTATGGGTTATTTCATAAAAAACCTGAGTTTCTAAATTTTTGTTGGGGACATTTTGCAAGAAAAGCTGATGTGGTGGGGTCATGGTAAGAATAAGTGAATTATTGAGGTAGTTTCACAATTTTAGAAAAGTTCTATATATAGGTGGGCTGTTCACCCATACGGAGAAGAATCGAGAAGAAAGAAACGAGAGGAGAGGAAGAACAAAGAAGGGAGAGAGATGAAACCGAGGAGAGAGAGGAGTTGAGAGCGATGAAGGTTGCTGGGAAAGTGGCCGTTGGCGGGCAAACTCCGGTGATGGGAAGGAGTAGAGGAGGATTAAGAATGTGGGAGGTGAGTAAAGCTTGAGATTTCCCTCTTTGATGATTATTGATTAATTTGATTTGTGTTGTTTATGATTGAATAAAATGGTATGAGATTAAACTGAAAAGGTAAGATTAATTACAATAATGTTATGTGGATAGAACATATATGTGATTCCTAAGCAAAAAATTGGTTAAAGATGTGTTTTTTGATATAAGGGTTACTGTGCAAAAACTGACTATCTGGAATTCCGAAAATCGTTTACATGCTTTGGGTTTTTGAATGAAGCTGAATTTTGGATATGTTGTTGTAGACTTCTTGAGGAGTGTTTAGAAATTTGTTTCACTCAAAAACTCGAAGTATTGGATTTCTATGGATTTTTTAAGTTTGCNAACGAGAGCACCAATGATAGGGTTTGGGATAGGATCTGTTTATATGAGGAACAGAGACCTCCAAGAACAAGAGATAGAAAGACTAATTGACAAATTTCTTTATTGATTCTCACAATCTATATTTAGGCTATTATATAGCCTTACACTTAACTCTATTGACTCTCAAAATGACTTTAATTGTAAAAGGGATAATAAGATAATCCTAATTCTATCCTAATAAGATAATAATATAATTATAAAAGATAATTATAAAAGACTTAACATAATCATAAAAGATAATAATAAAAGACTTAACACGCTTATCCTAATTCTAATTAACACACTTATCCTAATCCTAACAGAAAAGGTAAGATTAATTACAATAATGTTATGTGGATAGAACGTATGTGTGATTCCTGAGCAAAAAATTGGTTAAAGATGTGTTTTTCGATATAAGGGTTGCTCTGCAAAAACTGACCATCTGGAATTTCGAAAATCGTTTACATGTCTTGGGTTTTTGACTGAAGCTGAATTTTGGATATGTTGTTGTAGACTTCTTGAGGAGTGTTTAGAAATTTGTTTCACTCAAAAACTCGAAGTATTGGATTTCTATGGATTTTTTAAGTTTGCCCTGTAAATCTGGAATTTGGGTTTCCTGCAGAATGAGTATTTTCGTAAATGATTTGATGTATCTATTCTTATCCAAATTTGATGATTTTAAATTCTGGTGAATCCTGTAGGTTTCTAGTTTAATTCTGTTGGTTTTCATAAGGTTTCGATTAAAGGTCAAATTATTATAAATTTTACAAGTCAGTAACCTCAATTCTGGAAGCAGTTGGCAGTTTTGAAGGGTTGAAAGAAAATTCTGTTTTAAATAGTTATTGACTCTATAATGGCTTGGATAATTTGCTGGAACTTCATATGTGTGTCTTGAATGCCACATTAAAATTATGGCTTAAATTGATGAATGGAATTTTTAAGAAAAATCCTGGAGTGATCAGTGTTCGGTTATGAGACAGTTTTTGTTAAAGGATGTTAAGTTAATCTTTTGGTGTTTAAGATCTCCAATGAATTTAGCATCCTATCGGGACAGTACGAACGTCTGACTAGCTCCAAGCGGGATTACACCAGGCGCATGTTGGCCTGAGTGGGATTATGACACCTAGTGGGTATTGGCTTGGGCGCGATTTGATGAGACTATTGGGCAGGTATTGGCCTGGGTGGGATATGATTAGCCTCATGCGCATATTGAGATGACTCGTACTTCCAAACGATGATGATCTATACCATCCTATCGGGACAGGTTGGGCGCCTGACGAGCTCCAGGCGAGATTACACCCGGAGGATAGACCTTGGGAGGGGATTTGACAGGTTACACTAGACGAGTATTGGCCTAGTTGAGCAGCTAGTTGGTTGTATATATTCAGGACCTTGCGTACTAGTGTGGTAATGGTGGTGGTGATGGTTGCATTAATTGAATGAGTGGAACTTGTGAACATCTAGCGAGTATAGGTTGGTATGAAATTTATAAATATTCAACGGGTATAAGTTAGGTGGAAATTGTGGACATTTGACGGGTATTGGCGTGAACAAGAGTGGGTTTCGTGTTGGGGAATGCCTACTTAACTTTGATGATGGTGTATCGGTTTTCGTGAAAATAATACGATGATCCATGTTAATTGGAAAGTTTGTACAATGATGCGAATTTCCTTGATGGGCATGAGTGGATACGAATCAAGGAAATTATATCAAGAAAGTGTGGTTTCGCTAAGGGAATAGTTACGCGTTATGTGAAATGCAAGTTTTGCTCATGCTGGTTTAAGGTTGAAAGTTATTTTCATTTATAAATTGTATTATCCACTCACTGGGCTTCCTAACTCACNCAAAGTCCAGCTTTATGAAGTAGGATATATATCTAAAGCTAGTATAAAAGTTTGTGATTGATACCTTAGAATTTGAAGTGAAATTCCACACACAGAATGAAGTGTATCTCAGATCTTGCCTGTTTTAGTTGGAAAAAAGCAAATTGAATGAATTTATTCAAAGTAAAAGACCAATAATTTTGATTAAAACCAAAAAGAGCAGGAAATTATCTTCTTCTATAAGCCAATATAATTCTCAAGCACTAAGGAGACTTTAGTTGATTTGACTATAGCTCACAGATATTAATTAGTACATCAAAACTAACTAAAAGCAAAAAATAATAAAGATCAACAATAAATACTTATATGAAAACTTACCTTGTATATGTCTTCAATCAGATCCTTGCAAGTAAATAATAACAAAGAAAAAATTAATTAAACCAATTAAAATCACAAGAGAAGCTGAAGTTGAAATATCATACTATTGGTGTTCTCCTAGAAATGAAACTCTTTTGGAATCTGTAAATCTTTGCGTATAAAACTGAGTTGAGAAAGATGTTAGAGAAAATGTAATTTGAAATGCGCGCGAAAACTTAACAAGACTAATCTGCTTTTATCATTGGACGATATGGCTCAAAGATAATTAAGTAAAATTGCTTTGGACGAAATTACGGTGGAGATATAGTGGGACAACAATGAATTTCTTTTTGACAGAAGAAGACAAACAACTTTCGGTGCTGACAATCTCCAAGACAATTCACAAATTATTTGTACCAGTTGTTAAGTGTTATTAATTTTCAAAAATTATATAATATATCTTTAAATTTTTTGGCTTTTGACTTTTACACATAAAATAAAATTGATGATATTTTCATAATAGTAATATAAGTTATATTAGATAGGATTTTGTATACTTTACACATTTTTTTTGAAAATAAAATGATTATAAAATTAATGTTACGTATAGAATTAATTAATATTTTATCTATCTCAAAAGATATTTTGGTACACAAACGATGAAACGAGAGCATTATTTTTGCTCCTGCTTCTTTTATCTTATAATTTCAATGACCCACCATGTTTGCCATTTCCTCGCTGAATCAAAGAGACGACAAAATTCAGGAGCTTCCAAGAATTTTAAGTGTTCAATATGCAAAAGGGTCAAGGTCTTTAGATATTGTATTTTCTTTTTAATTATCATTTTCTTTTTAATCATCAAATTTTATGAATGTTGACAGCTTGTTCAATGGATAAAAAGTTTTTAAAAATCATAATCATAATCATAAAAAGTTTTTAAAAATCATCAAATTATTTTAAAATTTTATTTTCTCAATACTTAGTCTTCTTAGTCAAGAATAAAAATAGTCATAATATATTGTCTTTTAAAATGTTGTCTAATGTTATTTAATATGGTCTAACATATTTTAATTAAACCATTAAATACTATATCATTAAATCTAGTTTGATTTGGTCTAATCTAGCGTTATATGTTAATAAACAAAATTTTTATTGTTTCTTAATTTTATAATTACATATATCCTGTAAATAAAAGTTTTGATATTAGAGAAATTATAATTAATAAAAATGATTATATAGATACAAATCATTTTTGAATGCCATAAGAAAGTAAATCTCTCTTTTAAAAAAAAAAAAAATGAAAAATAAAAACTCAATTATTTTGGGTGGATTGAAGATACTTTCTCAAAATTCATCCTCCATCAAACACTTTGTGGTAAATTTAATCATAATTAGTTTATCTTTAATTTTGTATTTATTTTTTTATTTTTCCAACTTTATTTTATTTTACTATCATATCCTAAAAATAAAAAACATGTTTATTTTAATATTGTTCAAAATTCAATCTTATTCTATTCAACTCAAAACACTTAATAATTACCTTTCTCAATAAAAGTTTATAAATTAACAAAAAAACTCTCATCCACGCAAGCAACAGTTGCTAGCAAGCAACTGTCGCGAACAACCGTTGCTAATGCCAGAACGACGCACGATTGGTCAGATCTAGTCGATCTTTTGCCAATCTGTCAGTTTCCAACCAAATCTTTCATGGACCTGGCAAAAAACGGCCAGATCTACGACAAAAAATATGGCTGTT